TCACCCTGGTGCTAGCATGCATAGGGAGAGAGGGCACAGAACTTGTGTCAACCCTCCGGCGCGGGCCCGGCCTCATCTTACTCTCAGTGGATTTGTAACACATGCTCCAGTCACTGGGATGAAGGCCTTTTGATACACTAGGTGAGCAGGGAGGTGGTCTGAAGAGAGTCTGGATCCTCTTTTTCTGCTGTGGCTTGAGTCTTAGGGACAGTCCTGTCACCTTTGATGGTTATGCCTCTGATCCTTCGGAGTCATGTGGAAAAGGGGGACCAGACCTTTCAGGAAGCCTGGCCTGATCACTTCCTTAAAATAGGGGTGGGGGCACGGGGCAGGGGGAAGGGTGGGGCTGAGCTCTGCGTACTTCTGCTTTTCTTCTCTGGAGCTCTCTTGTTCCATCTCTTGTCCCTCCACCCCTCTGTCCCCACCTTGCCTTATTCCTCCCATGGTGGACCTCAAGCTTTGGCCCATCAGAGTCACCCCAGGCATTTGTTCAAGCCCAGCTCCTGAGCCTCCCCCAGAGTTTCCAGATCAGCAGAGACTACCATCCTTTGGTTCCTGTGTGTGGAAAGGCAGGGGCTGTGCTTAGACTGAGCACCATGGTTCTTAACTTCACAGGGAAGCGACTTCTGGTTCCTCACAACCAAGTCTCACTGGGGACAGAGTGTCACTGAGGGGATGGCAGCAGGTCCAGGTGCCAGCCTTCGGGCCAGTTTGCTACCTTAGCATGTGTGTGCTCACATGCGTACCCATGCCACCTTAGCATGTGTGTGCGCACATGCATACCCATGCCACCTTAGCATGTGTGTGTACACACGCGTACCCATGGCACCTTAGCATGTGTGTGTACACACGCGTACCCATGGAACCTTAGCATGTGTGTGTGCACATGCATACCCATGGCACCTTAGCATGTGTGTGTACACACGCGTACCCATGGAACCTTAGCATGTGTGTGTACACACGCGTACCCATGGAACCTTAGCATGTGTGTGTGCACATGCATACCCATGGCACCTTAGCATGTGTGTGTACACACGCGTACCCATGGAACCTTAGCATGTGTGTGTGCACACGCATACCCATGGAACCTTAGCATGTGTGTGTGCACACGCGTACCCATGGAACCTTAGCATGTGTGTGTGCACACGCATACCCATGGAACCTTAGCATGTGTGTGTGCACACGCGTACCCATGGAACCTTAGCATGTGTGTGTGCACACGCGTACCCATGGAACCTTAGCATGTGTGTGTGCACACGCGTACCCATGGAACCTTAGCATGTGTGTGTACACACGCGTACCCATGGAACCTTAGCATGTGTGTGTGCACATGCATACCCATGGCACCTTAGCATGTGTGTGTACACACGCGTACCCATGGAACCTTAGCATGTGTGTGTGCACACGCATACCCATGGAACCTTAGCATGTGTGTGTGCACATGCATACCCATGGCACCTTAGCATGTGTGTGTGCGCATGCGTACCCATGGAGAAGTTCCTCCTGGTCTCCCACCCTCCCCTTCTCCTGTCTGAGAAGTGGGTAGGGTATGTGCTCTCACAGCTTCTGAGCCTTCTGTCTGGAGAGAGGATTGGAAATGGACTTCCCCAAAGGGCCACCTGCTGTCCCAAGCTGTCAAGAGTGGCAGTGACAGCCCAGGGCTCTGAAGCAGTGGTAGAAATGCTGCTGAGACCCACAGCCTTCTGCCCGCCCTCAGCTGACATCCTGTCTGGCCAGGTCTCTAGTGTCCAGCATTCTTAAGTGCAATGTCACTCCGGATTTCTGAAAATGTGCCTGTCAGCAGTCTTCTGGAGCATACTGCAGCTAGATAAGCACTCAGCCAGTCACTCCATGTCTGGCCTCCCTCCCTCCCTCCCTCCCCTCCCCCCTCCCCTCCCTCCCTCTCTCTCTCCCTCCCTCTCTCCCTCCCTCCCTCCTCCCTCCCTCCTCCCTCCCCCATGGCTGTTTAAAGGAAGTCAGTATGGGGTTCTGGAAGGTTCCCAATGCCTTTAGGGGTGCGTGTGACTTACTTTCTGTGCATGGGTAGTCCTTCAGACACAAGTTTTACTGAGTGATTGTTAGTGGCTCTTCAAAGGAAATCAAGGGGCTGGCAAAATGGCTCAGGGGGTAAAGGTGATTGCCACACAAGTCTGACAACCTAAATTCAACCCCCAGAACCTACTTAAAGGGAACTGTCTCCATTGATTTCTTCTCTGACCCCCATGCACGTACCCCACCCACATCACGTGCACACACTTATAATAAGATACACAATTAAATAAACATTTAAAGAGCCATGGTGGCCGTAGCAGATAGTGTCTGAAATGCATGAGAGAGACTTGAGAGGGCCACCTTGTGAAAGTCCCTTGTGGCACAGGAAAGCTGACCAACGCTCAGGGAGGGTGATACAAGGAGAGGCAGGCAGGGAGCGCTGACACCTCTGGCAGGCTCTGCTCTTGCCTGAATGGAGGGTGAGGTCAGGGGCTCCAGCCACTGCCCCACACAGAGCCTCTGGCAGCGACCCACAGTCTCGGGCCCAAGAGTCCGCATTGACACTGCAGAGCTGGGAAGCTGTCGCTGTGGAGACAGACACTGGTGGTCTTTTGTGTGAGGCTGGTAGGGGTGTGGCTGGGATGGGTGCCTGCCTCCCCCGTAGGCCAAGGGTGAAATTCAAACATTTCACTGCTGGATATTGGGACACAGTGCCTAAAACACTGCGACACTCCAACCCTTCTCACGCTGGGAGATGCACTCTGCTACTCACGTCCCTTGCTGTGTGTCTGCAGCAGCCACAAGGCCTGAATCCCTGCAACCTAGAAGCCTTCATCTTCAAGAGTTCAAGGTTAATCCCAGGCCACACAGCAGCACCCTGACAGCCGTGCACCATGGCAGTAGCTTCAGATGGAAGCTTCTATCTGGTGAGCCACCTAGGCCTATAGTGTGAATATAGTCCCCTCTTCACGGATGCTGGGCAGAGTGTGGAACTGCCATTTTGGAAGCAGCTCTGATACCCGTCAGATGGTGGGTAGACAATCATGCCATGGAATGTTCTGAGTCCTGAGGGAGTCATAGAAATAAAGGGTATTTCCGAGCCAGCCCAGCCAGTGAAGTGCTTGAGGCCCTGTGTTCCACTCCCAAAGCACACATCAGAAGCCAGCATGGATTTCAGCACTGGGGAGGCAGAGGCAGGAGCATCCTTGGGGCTCACTGGCTGGCCAGCCTAGCACACTTGGTAAGTTTCAGGCCAGTCTGAAAACAAAGTAGACAGCACCTAAAGTACAACTTACAGGTGAACCCTGAGAGCACAGTGACCTATGAGAGAACTTGGTCCCCACAGGCCCCGTGTGATCTAGGCAAATACAGAGACAGAGACAGGTTTAGTGGTTGCAGGGGGCCGCGTGAGCATGGGAGCAGCTATCCCTGGGTCTGAGTTTCCTTTTTGGATCTTGAGAATGTTCTGGAATTAGACTGTGGCGATGGTTGCATAGTTGTGTCCTTTAACATGGTGTGCACGTGTGTGTGCGTGTGTGCACATGCTCTAGCACACTGTTTCACCAGTGACCTTTTTTTTAAGTTTCCAGCTGTCAAACATTTAGATTTTGAAGAAAAAAATTTAAATGTAAAGTATCTCTACAATACTGTCATGCAAGTACAAACTGCTTGGACTGGCAAGACAGCTCAGTGGGTAAGGGCGCTTGCCAGCAAGCCTGACAACCTGAGTTCAATCTCTGGTGCCACTTTGGTGAAAGGAGAGAGCAGACTTTGCAAAGTCATCCCCTGACCTCCATACATGCGTACATGTAACGTTGCCTTCATGGATACATCCCCCACCCCACAGGTGGGCAGGTGGTTCTGTTCCCGGGGGACAGCTGAGGGTGTTTCAATGTTCTTTGCCTGTCACAACTTGGATACTCTGGTCTTTGGTGGTGAAGGCCAGAGGTATTGTCCTGTAGTTTATAGGACACCCACATCACAGTGACTTATTGAGTCCTCCGTCTCTCTTTTTCTTCCCCCCATCCTCCGTTGTTTTTTTTTTGTTGTTGTTGTTGTTGTTTGTTTGTTTGTTTGTTTGTTTGAGACAGTTTCTATATAGCCCTGGCTGTCCTGGAACTCACTTTGTAGGCCAGGCTGGCCTCAAACTCACAGAGATTTGCCTGCCTCTGCCTCTCGAGTGCTGGGTTAAAGGCGTTCACCACTACTGCCTCTCTCAGATGAAATGTGGGTTGCGGGCAGTGGATGGACCTGGGTGAGGTTGTGCTTTGTGTGTTGTGGGGGAGACAGCAAAGTGACTATACAAAAGAATTCCGATGCAGCTCAGGGGAGCAGCCGCCCAACATGATGTAAGAAACTGAGCAGCCTAACTTTGCAGCTGGAAGATGTCACGGATCTCACTGCCCTGTCACAGGCACCCTTGCTTGTATTGGCTCTTGTGTCTCCAGAGTGGCTTTCCCATTCCAGGTAGAACCTTATAGATGATTTGGCAACTTTTGCTTTCTGAGACAAGTGTCTCCAAAAGACCAAGCTGGCTTTGAGTTCTGAGTCTCCTGCCTCCACCTCCCAAATGCTGTGATTGCGGGTGTGCACTGTCTCACCTGGCTTATGAAGTGCTAGTGATGGAACACAGAGCCTCAGGAATGCTAGTAAGCACTATACCCACTGAGCTGCATCCCCAGCCTGAGGTGATGGCTGGCTAGCCCTAAATTACATTCATGTTTTGAGCCTTGGCTCCTGAAGGTCATAGAGGTGACAGCCAGGGAGGCCTGAGTGCAAATCCCAGCGTTCCTCCAGCTACCTGTCTCACTTGGGGTTGTCACATGACTAGGCTATTGCTTCCACTTCCCATCTGTGAGACGGCATTGGAGAGGACGTTGCCAAGGTCTGTGGGTACACACTTGTTTCCACCTTCTTACTGGGCACACCTGTGGCTCATGGCCTCTCCCCAGGGAGATGGTGTCAGGAAGTCCTTACTGAGTGCCTTACTCTTTCTGTTTTGGCCACAGATGATGTCCGGCTGTTTGCCTTTGTACGCTTTACCACCGGTGATGCCATGAGCAAAAGGTCCAAGTTTGCCCTCATCACGTGGATCGGGGAGGATGTGAGTGGGCTGCAGCGAGCCAAGACGGGGACCGACAAGACGCTGGTGAAGGAGGTGGTCCAGGTAATGTGTTCTGCCACATGTCAGCAAGGGTCACCACCCAGCTGAGATAGAGGGCATGGGGTGGACCCTGGAAAACTCTGCCTTCTTGATGTCACACCATGGAAACATAGTTGCTGGATAGCCAGCTCTGCACGGCCAGCAGCCCACAGAGAAGGGGGCTGACAAGATGACCAGAGTGGAGACCACTGCCTGTCCCATTGTGGGTGGGTTCCAGCAGTGGCCATGGTGATCTAGGGGGAGGATGCGATCTTTCCCAGGACAGCATCTGTCATGGGGACACTGCTCACACTTGCTCGGTGCACAGTAACCAGGTGATTGACAGTGGGGTATGTTGTCACAGTTTGGTAACTAAAGCATGACAGTAGTAGTATCCACAGCACCACAGACAGTGAGGTTGTTTGTTTGTGGGTTTGGGAAAGGGACCACTCTAAGAAGGAAAAATCTAAATTTGTGATGGTGAATCAAGGTGAGCATGCAGAAGGATTTCCTAAAGCCTAGAAGCTAGAGCCCTTCCTTCTTTTAGTTTATCCAAACTGCTATTCCAGTGACCAGAGTAGATGTGGCCAGCCCTTCAGCCCTTCAGTCTGGCTGTTGCCCAGGACCAAGTGACGTGTGCAGAGATGGCTCTGATTAAGAGCATTGGCTGCATTTCCAGAGGGCCTGTGTTTGGGCCTGGCACTTACAGGGCAGTTCACAAACCTCAGGAGCTGCAGCTCCAGGATATCTAACGCCCTCTGTCAGCACTGCATACATGCGGTGCACAAACACACATGAAGGCAAAACACCCACACACAAAAACAAACAAAAAAAGATGTGGCTTGTCTCCCATTGACTCCCTGACTGACACATTGACTACATCTATTGCTGTGATGAAACTCCATGACTGAAAGCAAGTTAAGAAGGAAAAGCTTTATTTATTAGGCTTACACTTCCTCATCACTGGAGGAAGTCAGGACAGGAACTCAAACAGGGCAGGAACCTAGAGGCAGGAGCTGATGCAGAGGCCACGGAGAGATACTGCTTACTGGTTTGTTCCTCATGACTTGCTCAGCTTGCTTTCTTATAGAACCCAGGACTACCAGCCCAGGGATGGCCCCACCCACAATAGGCTGGGCATCAATCACTAATTAAGAAAGTGCCCTACAGGCTTTCACACAGGCAGGTTTTATGGAGACACAGTCTCAATTGTGGCTTCCTCCTATCTGATGACTATAGCTTGTGTCATGCTGTCATAAAACTAGGCAACACACAGGCTCTCTTTGCTATGTAGCTCTGGCTGTCCTGGAACTCACAGGGATTCCTCTGTCTCTGCCTCCTGAGATCTGGGATTGAAGGTGGAGCCTGGCCATACCTAGCTTTTTCTTTTCCCTTTGAGTTCTGAGGATTAAACTGAGGTCCTTATGCAAGCATTTTACTACTACCTGAAGACCCTGCTGGATGGCCTCTGTAGAAATCCTAGGAAGGATTCCAAGTACAATAGTCAGCCTTATTGCATATAAAGTAGGTTTTTAATTAATTTTGTTGCATTTGCATGTGCACTGTGTGTGTGTGTGCATGCGCACGCTCACTTGTGTGCTTACACAGACACAACACTGAGTATCTATAGACAACACTATAGAGTCATTTCTCTCCTTCCGTCATTCCTTGGCCTTCAGAGATTGAATTCAAGTCATCAGGTGCACCTCAAACACCTTCACCCATTGAGCTATCTGCTGGCCCCATTATTATCTTGTTTAAATTTAATTTTGTTGCGATAGGGCCTCACTCTGTAGCCCAGTCTGACATCAAACTTCTGCCTCTGGGTTTTGAGTGCTGACAGTTGAGCTACCACACATGACTAGATTGTTCGTTTAGTTGCTTGTTGCGTGCTTGTTGGCCTGTGGTGCTGAGGTTCCAACCAGGGCCTCGTACATGCTAGACAGGCACTCTGCTGCAGCCCCAGCCTGGGGTTTCTGTGAACCTAGAACTGGCTGCAGTGGCAAGTATACCCATAAGCGGAGCTGACTCAGGGACCTAGGTTCTCTGGTGGCTGCCTTCATGGTGGGAACACCAGTTCCTAGTTGTGGATTTGCAGGCTCCAAGAAGTTGAAGTAAAGTGGAATTGACCAACCCTTCACAGGGGGAGGTGAGGGCATCAGGGAACCTAGTTGAATCCAGGCTCAGGTAGGTTTCATCTCTCATTCCGTTCTCTTTCTCTCTGGATTTGGCCACCCTCTGCCCAGCAGAAGGAAAATCCAGGCTTTGGTGGTCCTTCAAGGTCAGGACTCCAGAATGGAGGCCTGTTACCTCTGTGGTAGTTGGTCCCTTCAGAGAATTCTCCCCTAAGCCATCTGGGGGCAGGGGTGGGGCTTTATGATTTGCTACTACAGTGACGCTCCATCCAGTTCAGAGGCATGATGGGAGCTGAGGTGTGCTGGGGTCACTCAGATGAGGAGCTGGGATTCCCAGACAGATGGAGGTGTGTGTCCGTAACCTCAGCACCCAAGTGTGGATCCAGGCAGGAGGAGTTGGGATTGAGGCCCGCTTGGAACCGGAAGCCAGAAAGGTCACTGAAGGGTCCATGACTGAGAAAACCAGACAAAAGTCTCCTTCTCCACCAGCCTCAGGGCAGCAGAGGCTGCAGGAAGCTGAGCTGTTCTAGTGACACTGCCTGGAGTTGGGGAATGTACTGAGCTGACAGACAAACAGCTCACCTGGCTGAGGTGGCCTTGTCACACTGTTGTTGGCTGGTGCCGGGATAGCACACCCGCCTTTGTTCTGGTGCCTCTGCAGGCTTGTGGGGACAATGTGGTAGCCAGCAGGGGAGACTCCCTGGTGCCAGGCCAGGATGCCTGGAATCAGAGCCGACCAGGCCTGCCTGCCTTGCAAAATGCTCTAACTCTCATGCTCTTTTATTTTATTTGTATTAATTTACTACTGAGTTTCAACATGCTATGTATGTGCATGACATATATGTGGGTGTGCATGTGGGGGCCAGAGGACAGTGTTGTGGGATCTCTTGCCTCTCACTATGTAGGTACTGGGAATTGGGCTCAAAATCAGGTTCCAGGTTTGGCAGCAAACTCCTTTACCTGCTGAGCCATCTTACTTACCAAAAGGAGAGCATTTTGAAGGTGGGGTTTCATCTGAAACACAGTGGGGAGCCTGGGAAGGTTTTAAGTTAGGGAGGGGGATTGGCTTTGCCTGGGGAGAGGCCCGGCACATAAATGAGGCTGCTTCAACCAGAAGACTGTTCTGTGCTAGCTGTGGCTTGCTGCCACTCACCAGACTCTAGACCTACTCCTAGCCCATGGCCAGCCTGCCTGTGTGCAGCCATGACCAACACAGAACCATGGAACACCTCTGCTTGCCAGAGCCCTGTTGTGGGAGGCCTCCCCATAGTGTTCCAAGGCCCAAACACCCTGGGTGTGTGTTCTATGGGCTTTGCCTGCCCCCTTCCTGGCCTCTCCATTCTTCTGTCTTCTGGTTATCTGTCCCTACATGGTCCCTTTCAGAACAGACCTGTACCACACACAGTTGTGCAGTAGCTGCCGGGCACTGCTGCGTGAGTGCCCACCACAGACACGAGTCTAATGAAATGCCACTCCTGTGCATTCTTTCTCATGTAAACCTCAGCCAGCCTTGGCCAAGAGCTCACAAAGATCATGTTTCTGGCCCCTCACCTCCCTGAGCAATGGGATGTCAGTCTGACATGTAGAAGCATGAAAATAATAAAGATGCCACCTATGGGGAGTGCTGGTGTAGATGTACAGTCCCTTGTTTTTGAGAGAGGGTGGAATGTTGCCAAGGCTTGTCTTGGACTCACTGTGTAGTTGAGGTGACCTTGAACCCCTAAAATTCCTGTCTCTATCTCCCTAAGTGGCGAGATTATAGGTGTGTGCCTGTTTATACAGTGCCAAGATGGAACCCAGGGCTTTATTCGTGCTAGGCAAGCATTCTACCAGCTAAGCAAGGCCCTGTTTACTTATGTATTCTTTTTGTTGTTGTTGTTGTTGAATTATGGACACATCCTGGTATTTGCTGACAGTGAACATCTTTGAGGCTAAGTATTGTCATTTTAGAACAATTCTGTTTACTGATTCTTTGAAGGAAAGTCCCAAACATGCATGTGGCTGGGAGCAAGAAATTCTGTGTGTCTCTCTCCCTCTCTCCCACCCTTTCTCTCTCTCTCTCTCTCTCTCTCTCTCTCTCTCTCTCTCTCTCTCTCTCTCTCTCTCTCTCTCTCTCTCTCTGTGTGTGTGTGTGTGTGTGTGTGTGTGTGTGTCTCCCTGTGCTTCTGGAGACCCAGGATCTCATACATGTTGGGTGAGTGTTCTGCTACATAGCTAGTTCCCCAGCCGAGGGCAGTTTTGATTAGACAGAAGTTGAAGACCCAGCTTGGATTTGACCTCAGCTGACCAGTAGGTAGGGACTGCTTAGAGCTCTGGGTTAAGAAGGGTTCTGAGGTTGAGTGTTGACAACAAAGGTTCCATGATTGATTTGTGATGTCTGCCACGGACATGGGAGCAGTGAGTGGAGTGTTTCCTACCCCTTTCTCCTCCCTGAACTAAATAGAGTCAGAGGCCAGAGCTTTGGTGAACATCTGGGAGACAGGAGAGCAGTTTTCCATGTGCTGGGAGAGATGGTTGTGAAGGAGGATGTTTTCCTGTTCCAGGACTTTTCTTTTAGACCACCAGCCAGCTCCCCAATCATGACACAGGGGCTTCTTATTTGTTTTGAATGCCAGCCTATCTTAGCTCTTTTCTGGCTAGTCCTTTTAACTTAAATTAATCTGTTTCTCCTCATCTGCGTTTTTGCCTCGGGGCTTTTTAACCTTTTCTTGCTTTCCTGCTGTCTCTATGTCTGTCTGGCTGAAGGCTGCCTGGTTTCTGGCCCTAGGTGTGTCTCTCCTTCTCTCCTCTCATTCTTCCTTCTTCTTGAACCTAGATTTCTGTTCCTCTCTGCCTGGTTAGCCCTGCCTATCCTTTCTCCTGCCTAGCTATTGGCTGTTCAGCTTTTTA